CATGATCTATGAGCGTGGTTTAGATCGTGATCTATGAGCTTGTTGTAGAACATGATCTATAAGCGTGGTGGGGCAAGCAGAGTCAATGTGTCTGTATGTGTGTGCCAAGTCAATAAAGTTTTTGAGTGCGTCTGAGGAACTATAAGTGCTCCTATTTGTAAGAATATATGCTTGTTTATGCTCTGGTGAAGGGGGAAGCAATTGTTGCATTTAAAAATGACATCAACATGAAGTTAAAAAAAGTTATACTCATTATGAGGCGTTGATGTATGTTACTCGATTTGGTATTTGAAAGACGAACAGGTCCTAAAAGATCGAAATTTTGCCGCATCAACTTGAGATGAATATTCTTGGGCTTGACTATGCGGTTTTGGCTGTGTGAACTAACCTAGCTGTATCTTAACGTGCTTGTGAGGGATGGGCTTCAGCTCTTGATTCCCCGCCTCTAAACATTCAGTTAACACAATTGTCTTGACAGGATGAACAACCCAGCGGGTTTTCTTCCTATTAGGGAGTGTTGTACATGCTGCTATGGCGGTATGTCCACTCACAAGATGAGTGGCGCTGCCCAATAAACTCGCCCCTCGGGGCAAAACAAAACAAAAAACACTCTTGTCAGGCACAATTTCCTTTCGCCGAATCTATGTTAAATTGTTTTAAATATAAATCGTCTATTGTAAGTGTGCATGTGTGTTGTGGAGTGAGTGAGTGAAGGGGAGGGGAAATTTGAGGTGCGTCTGTATCAGGTGACTACCGTTTGACACCCGCTTGAAACCCCTTACGGGCTTACTATAGCCCGTAACTACATGGAAGTTTTGTTCAGGATAGTTGAATCTAAAGCAACAACAGCTTGGCAACCACAGTCACTCCACTGGTTAGTTTCTAGAATAATTACCTCTCATTAAATTGGTGTTGTGTGTATGTACTCATTTACAAGTTGTACTCACTTAGTTGAGCTTGCAGGGGTTGAGCTCTGGGCTCTTTGGTTAATGTGTGTGTGTGTGTGTGTGTGTGTGTGTGTGTGTGTGAGTGAGTCTTCAACATATTACCACTCACATTGTGAATATACCTCACTTGCTTCAAGACTAATTTTGATTCTAATTTATAATAATATTAAAATAACCGATACGGCATGGAAAAATGAGCTGACTCAAGCTTAGTGTCTTTTAACATAGAATATATTTACATAACCCTTTAGTTTATTAAAAAAATGAAAGCGAACTCATGAGAAAATAAAATATTTTTACATTCTTCCTCCCCACAAGTCCAACCACTAGGGCTGGACGGTAGAGCGACGGTCTCGCTTCATGCAGGTCAGCGTTCAATCCCCGACCGTCCAAGTGGTTGGGCCACCATTGCTTCCCCCCCGTCCCTTCCCAAATCCTTATCCTGACCCCTTCCCAGCACTATATAGTCGTGATGGATTGGCCCCCCCCCTGATAGTTCTCTTCTCTTCCTCCCAACAAAATTCCCCCGTCCCAGGAAATATGCATAAAAATTGGCCAGCAGGGCTAAAAATGAGGGAGAAAGAAAAAACCATAAAAAAAATCAGAATATGAAAGTGGGTTCTCTTGAGCTATCTGCGGCTTGGGCCGACCCTGCTCGCCATTCCTGTGTGCCATCGGTGCTCCGGCCCACAAAGACAGTCGCAAGATTTATGGCGCAGCTTTGGATTCCTTCTCGACTCGGGCACCGACGAGAAATAATGGCTGGTCTTCATCTGGGCATTACTAGGCGGTCACGGGGGTCAGAGGTGCCGGTCAGGGGGGCATGATGGAGCAGGAGCCCCGCGGTACAAGAGCCTGTACATACAGTTCGGTACATAACTGCAGAAGAAATTGGCGACTTGTTAATCTGTAGATACAAAAAACGCATTTTCTGGAACACTGTGAAAGGTAACATTGTTTCTAGTTAACGTGTTGCTGGTTCCACGGAACAAGAAGCCGGTGATTGTACATAGTGTATCCACAAGACGATTGTCGCAACTTGGAGGATTGGATGAAGAAAAGAGACACGATTGTGATCCTTCAAGTATATAAATGATAGTGGTAACGGCAGTTATTGCCCATATTATCTATGTTATATGAGTTATATCCAAAATAATGAGTTATTATCTAAGACCTACAGGTGGCAGGAAGATCAGTGTGTCGGATGATGCTGGTGTTCACGAGCAAACGGGCTAGGCAGAGACTCGGTACTAGGAAATCAATATCAACAGAATGGTTATAATTGGGATGGAATAACGGCTTGGAGAAACTGAGAGCAGCTGTGACGTCGTGAGTTACGATCCGGATAAGGAGCTACGAAGGTCTTGAAGGACAAGCCGGTTGCTTGGAAGGTTGTGGGAAATTGGCCGCTTACATCGGGTGTCGTGTGAAGATTTATTAGATACAGAGTAGGGAAGGAGGAGTAGAGTTACGATGTGGTGGATAAGGAGGGGAGGAGAGAGAGAGAGAGAGAGAGAGAGAGAGAGAGAGAGAGAGAGAGAGAGAGAGAGAGAGAGAGAGAGAGAGAGAGAGAGAGAGAGAGAGAGAGGAAAAAATAAAAGGAGGGATAGAAGTCTGAATGGAATAACAAAGGATATTGAAATTTAGAAAGATATTCCGGCAGATAGAGAAAGCAGGATCATGAAATAATTACGTCCAGGAGAAGCGGCAACACAGCAATTATGACTGAGAAAACAAAAGTCAAGTGTTTTGAAAAGGACACTTGATGGCTACACGGGACGAGTCAGACAAACACGTGCTGGCTACACGGGACGAGTCAGACAAACACGTGCTGGCTACACGGAACGAGTCAAACAAACACGTGCTGGCTACACGGAACGAGTCAAACAAACACGTGATGGCTACACGGGACGAGTCAAACAAACACGTGCTGGCTACACGGAACGAGTCAAACAAACACGTGCTGGCTACACGGGACGAGTCAGACAAACACGTGCTGGCTACACGGAACGAGTCAAACAAACACGTGCTGGCTACACGGGACGAGTCAAACAAACACGTGCTGGCTACACGGGACGAGTCAGACAAACACGTGCTGGCTACACGGGACGAGTCAGACAAACACGTGCTGGCTACACGGGACGAGTCAGACAAACACGTGCTGGCTACACGGGACGAGTCAAACAAACACGTGCTGGCTACACGGGACGAGTCAAACAAACACGTGCTGGCTACACGGGACGAGTCAGACAAACACGTGCTGGCTACACGGAACGAGTCAAACAAACACGTGCTGGCTACACGGGACGAGTCAAACAAACACGTGCTGGCTACACGGGACGAGTCAAACAAACACGTGCTGGCTACACGGGACGAGTCAGACAAACACGTGCTGGATACACGGAACGAGTCAAACAAACACGTGCTGGCTACACGGGACGAGTCAGACAAACACGTGCTGGCTACACGGGACGAGTCAAACAAACACGTGCTGGCTACACGGGACGAGTCAAACAAACACGTGCTGGCTACACGGGACGAGTCAAACAAACACGTGCTGGCTACACGGGACGAGTCAAACAAACACGTGCTGGCTACACGGGACGAATCAAACAAGACAGTTGGGGCTCTACAACACGTAGTCGTGCAGACAGATTTAAGCAAGTACTGATTTCCCTCGAAAAGATAATTATTTGCCATTATATACTCTTGGATGGGCAACTGAGTTATTTTCCAAGGGCTGAATATGTAATTCTCTTTCTGTTAAGGCCGGGGAACTATGGCTTTCCTAATGGACTTACTAAAGCTCTTCTTCTTAGGGCTGAGAAACTGAAGCTCGACTTGAGAAATAAAACCTGTCACTTGCCCTCCAGGACACCAGCAACCTGATTGATATAATGAATTCACGAGCAGGAACTCACTTCAGATATACCGGAGAATAATACCATTTATATAAAGGAAAATATGTTAAAAGAATTATCAATTATGTGAACAAAACGACGATTACAGAATCACAGTTCAAGATGAACAATCTGAAAATATTTGCTTTAATATTATTTTCAACTTCGACGTCAAAGATATTTATGTCCCATTAGTTCATATCAACCCACGAGCGGAACAATTGCAAATGCAATTAAATGGACTGAGTGCTAGCCGCTAACGGAGACCGTATTCAAAACTTCATCCCCATGCTCTTCTACAGATCAGAGGCATCATCGACCAACAGTATCGTGACAAGCTGAGGAAAGAAGAATAGAAGAAGGAATCAGTAAATCTATACAATTTTATGGCCGCTGACAACCTCAATCGTTATGGACACGAGGGCGATGGTCGAGAGAATCTATAAAAGCTAGGAATTGTCTTGGATGCATCCCATACGGATTCGGGATGGAATCAACAGCTAAACAGAGAGAGTTGCAGAATCTGGTGCACGGGAGATGGACTTCCCTTGGACCACTACCTGGGAGCTGAGCCCATCTCAGTGACATAAGAAATATGTGCAGTATACCAAATCCTACACTGTTTAAGCTAGGAAAAACGCTATTTATTAAATGTAGATTCCCCGACTTTTCACCCACAGGATACGTCGCTTGAGGGGTTGGCAAATGTTAATCCCCTTGTTTTTTATCCATTGGTTCACTTGAAATACTTCAATAAATTTTAGCTGCGTCTGGGAACCAGTTACAGGATAAGCAATTATTGGAAGTTGAGAAGGGATGTTTTGCACGCTGTTTTGGATGTGGTATGTTAGTCACAGGATGAGTAACGTTGCCAAATAAACTCACCCTACGGGGTAAAAATATAGCAAAATCTAACAATATCATAAGAAGTCGTGAATGATTTTGAGTAGAGCAAACTGTGAGGGGAGAGTGTGAGGTAGAGCGAGGAGAGAAGTGAGGGGAAGCGAGGACTGATATAAGGATTTGGTTGGAGGAGGGAAGTGGGGTTCTCCGTGAAGGAACCATTGAGAGGTGTAGCATAAATCAGGGGACGGTGCCCGGTGCATGTGATGTAAGGTAGGCTGGGCAGTGGTGGCAGGTTGCTGAAGCCCTCATGGCAACAAACGACTCATCTGGGACACTCCACTTTGAAGCACCACCCAGTCACGCCGGAAAGTATATAGAAGAGTCTTATCTCCTGCCTCCCGTGAGGTAAACTGTGTGGGGGAATAGCTGGGAAAACTGGGAAGGATAGTCGGGCAGAGTACGATGGTAGTCTAGGTAAGTTTGTGTTAATTTTTGCTTCTTCTGCATTTGAAAAGTATAGCGATATTTTAAGTTTCAGTAATATATTTAATGGTAACTTTATATATAATTCGTGAGAATTAAATTATGGTTGAACACATAAGAAACATTAAGAAACAGATTTTTTTTTCTCAAGCCTCGAATTTATCCTCTTCGGTGCATCCTCTGTAACCTCCTTTTCTCTCAACCACTCCTCCCCTTCCCTTCTTCCTCAGTCGACCTTCCTTCCTCCAATCCATCATTTCTCCTCTCCTTCCCGTCCCTCCAACATCCCCATTCCATTCCCCTCCCCTTCCACACGCACACCATTTCCTCCACCCCCAGAGCGGGAGGAAGCGGCCCGCAGGAGGTAACGAGCAGTGCGTTTCGGTGAGAAGTTGTGACAGTGATTAGTCAAAACGGCCCTCGAGGGGGACGGCCAGGCCAGACCAGGGGACAGGCTGCACGTCTCGTCGGGGTCCCGCGTGTTCACGGTGGATGCGGGATTTAACGAGAGTTTAACGACGGTTCGTAGATGGGTTTCATAATACATGACGTGTTTGGTCAGGGGTGGCGGGATATAAGAAGACTTGCGAGGCACCAGAGTAGTGGAGAGTCACCCATATTTGTCTTGTTAAGCGCCGCTATGTGGTTCCATCGCATGAGATAAACGTTTGTGGCCTCGTTGGGCTGTTATTGGTGGTTAAGTTGTACTGGGATTGGCACATAGTCTCCTAACTCGGGATCTAGCTTGTTACGAAGTTTATTAGTGGCTTTAACGAGAATATTAACGGCGGAAGCAAGAGCATGTGTTACTGACGATTTGAACAACTAGTTAAGACGGGATTGATACAGTTAATAACAGTGTGGTGAGCCTTACGCATGCACGAGTGCCGTGGCTGTGTGTCCTTGTTACCCCCACATGCATAAATTGCTTTAACCATGTCTAATGTAAATACCCGCAAAACTATCCGATACAAATACAAGCACTAAAACACATTAATACACACACACACATCCAAAGCTTCTCCCACACAGCCACACCACGAAAATTCAACCGTGTCAAGCACAGTCGCCATCTTCGGAACATTCACTCTGACAAATGTACCTGAAATGTGCACATCATGCGCTATGTTGAAGCGTAAGCGTAACCCCCCACCTTTCTTATCCTTACTTGGTGAGATAATGAGCGGGAGTGACTGTGTATGTAGTCAGGTCTATAAGAGTAAGCTTATTAACTGTATTTGCTAGTAAGCTTTCTTGATTTTTTATCTGTTGTTAAAAAATGCAGGTAATGCTACTTTATTTTACTTAGAAGCAATACAACATGTATAACAATAACATTTTAATATTTATACAAATTGTAAATATCAAATATTCTCTTACCAACATTTCATAGTAGCTAAAAAAACTGTTCTCCTCCTTTGCCTCTTTTCTTCTTTTTCCATTTCTCCTTTTTTTCTCCTTTTGCTCTGTTTTTCATTCGTTAATATGGACAAGCAAATTTAGGATAAATGGTTCGGATGTATTCCAATGTACCAGATTCAATGAAATAATTACAGAGTTGATTGTACAACAGACCAGGTCTAAAATCTTATACAGTTTGATATTCGGTAATGTTACATTCAAGTGACTGTTTAAACAGTTTGTCACAGAGTTTACAGGCTGAATATTCTGGTAGTAGCTCAGCCTCACTAAGTTGAATGAATTAGATTGGGTGAATATAAACAGGAGCTGCCTCGAATGGGTTAATATGCCTTCTGCAGTTACAGTCATTCTTATGTTCTTAGTTGCTCGATGTTCTTATACTCAACGTCAATTCTCGTAACAATTACAGCACACTGGTGGGGTCCGATTTCTTTACTGGCCATACAAATACTTATTATTACAAAAGTTGCCATAGCGTTTAGTACTGTAGTTTTCAGGTTTTTAAGTATTTCTTATTTCTTTTAAATCAGAAGTAATATCTTAAGTTTCTATGTTCCTTAATTGCATGAAATTTACTTCCTTACTCTACTAACTTACTTCCCGCTCTTTGGCGAAATCAAAGAGCTGGAGCTCCACCTCCCCTTCAAAATATAATTAGGAGTACACACATACACACACACACACACACACACACACACACACACACACACACACACACACACACACACACAGGGGGCCTCGAAGGGCCTCGTAGCCTGGTGGATAGCGCGCAGGATTTGTAATTCTGTGGCGCGGGTTCGATTCCCGCACGAAGCAGAAACAAATGGGCAAAGTTTCTTTCACCCTGAATGCCCCTGTTACCTAGCAGTAAATAGGTACCTGGGAGTTAGTCAGCTGTCACGGGCTGCTTCCTGGGGTGTGTGTGTGTGTGTGTGTGTGGTGTGGGGAAAAAAAAATAAAAATAGTAGTTAGTAAACAGTTGATTGACAGTTGAGAGGCGGGCCGAAAGAGCAAAGCTCAACCCCCGTAAAAACACAACTAGTAAAAACACAACTAGTAAACACACACACACACACACACACACACACACACACACACACACACACACACACACACACACACACACACACACACACACACCATGTTCTGCATAAGAACAGAGTAGAACAGTTACTACATTTATTATAAAACTTAAGGGAAATATGGAAGAATGTATTTTAAGAGTCGGAGTTGACTTCATTGGAAAACCTGCAGCTGGTAAAGCGGGGCTTAGGAGCTAACACTCAACCCTGCAAACACATATAAGTGAGTGCACATGTCCTTGACCAGGTGCTCGCCCCCTTGGTCGTGCCTGTTCATCTGCATGACCATTCATTATGGCTCTACGAACATGGACATTGACTTGAGTAATGAGGTTGTCAATGGCTTCGTCATATGCTGGTTGATGTCTGCCTAGAGCTTTAGATAATTGAGCTAACATCTGTTGTTACTACTGCTGCTGCTGTTGCTGCTGCTGTTGCTGCTGCTGTTGCAGAGATTACTGTTATTGTTGTTGCTTTACCTGCGCCGGATCATATTGTTTGTTGCTGCTTCACTCATATATATATATATATATATATATATATATATATATATATATATATATATATATATATATATATATATATATATATATATAATATATATTATATAATATATAATATATATATATATATATATATATATATATATATAATTCGCCTTCATCAGAGCAAAGTAGAATGAACTTTGAGTCGAGATATGATTATACTTTGCTCTGATGAAGGCGAATTAAGCCAAAAACACGTTAAGCATTCTTTATTTTTCACATGTTGTTTTTCCACACACATATATATATATATATATATATATATATATATATATATATATATATATATATATATATATATATATATATATATATATATATATATATATATATATATAATATATATATATATATATATATATATATATATATATATATATATATATATATATATATATATATATATATATATATATATATATATATGTCTCAATACTGACGGCCTCAATACTGACCAATTACTGACCCTCCCTAAGAGGCAACGCCCTCAAATATTGCCTAACTCCCTGGTAACTATTTACTTCTAGATGAACAGCGGCGTTATGTGAAAGGAAACGTGCCCAACAGTTTCTCTTCCGCCAGGGAATCGAACCCGGGATTCCTTGTCTGTGAGTCGAGAATGAAGCCAACCGTACTGAGACGACCACAGGAATGAGACCACAACATGAACGAACATCACAGTCCTGCATTGAGAACACACTCACTCTGTAATACAAAAGTTCTAAAAATGGCTTAACGGACGTAAAACGAAAAAAAAAAAATAGCGATAATTACTCGCTACCGATCCCTATACCTCAACAACGTTTAACGCCTAATTGCCTATCATTATCGACGCATGAATTACAGGGAAACGCACACCCCAGCCATATGGAAGTTTGTCTAATGCACATAATCGCGCGGCAGTTCTCTCTCTCTCTCTCTCTCTCTCTCTCTCTCTCTCTCTCTCTCTCTCTCTCTCTCTCTCTCTCTCTCTCTCTCTCTCTCTCTCTCTCTCTCTCTCTCTCTCTCTCTCCCATCTCCTCCTTCCCTGCAAGTCCTATCAATAAAGCACGCCATGTAAGTACCCTCTACAACGGAGTTTACCATCGGCTTCTTCCCTGTCGATGACTGTGTTTAGTCGTGATGGTATACAATTACCTCGTACGTCAGAGGGAGTGAGGGAGGGGGAGAGAGAGATACTTGGAGATGGGGGCTCCTACCTGACGCTCGGAAGCACGCACGCACGCACGCGCACACAGAGATATTAGGAAGAACTTTTTTAGTCTAAGTGATTGACAAATGGAATGCATTAGGAAGTGATGTCGTGGAGGCAGACGCCAAACACAGTTTCAAGTGTAGATATGATAGAGCCCAGTAGGCTCAGGACCCTGTACACCAGTTGATTGACAGTTAAGAGGCGGGACCAAAGAGCCAGAGCTCAACCCCCGCAAGCACAAATATGTGAGTACACTCACACACACACACACACACACACACACACACACACACACACACACACACACACACACACACACACACACACACACACACCACCACCTTCCTGTTACTCTTTCCCTTTCTTATCTTTACATATATTTTTCCCCTTTGCTCCTTCACCCCTTTCTCTTCCACTCTTACTTTCTCTGTATTTCTTTCCTTCATAAATATTTTTCACTCGCTTTTCACTATGGCCGTTCTGGTTCCTGATCTTCAACTTTAGAAACCCAATGTGTTCAGTGTATATGACCTCCCATCATCTGCTTCCCTGACTCACCCTTCGCCTCTCTAACCCATTTTTCGCCTCCCTCAACCAGTTTATTCCTCTACCTGACTCACCCTTTTCCTCCCTGACACTCCCACCAACTCCTGACTCATCCTCCTTTCCCTTGAACTTATCGCTGCCTACCTTGTTATTCAACCCCCCCTCTTCTAACCTTCCCATTATCCCACTTTAAGAACGCACTGGAGTGAGCCAAGCACCAACAGGGTAACTACCATACCTGGTGAGCCAATCTCCAACACGGTAACTACCACACCTGGTGAGCCAATCTCCAACACGGTAACTACCACACCTGGTGAGCCAATCTCCAACACGGTAACTACCACACCTGGTGAGCCAATTTCCAACACAGTAACTACCACACCTGGTGAGCCAATCTCCAACAAGGTAACTACCACACCTGGTGAGCCAATCTCCAACAAGGTAACTACCACACCTGGTGAGCCAAGCTCCAACAAGGTAACTACCATACCTGGTGAGCCAATCTCCAACACAGTAACTACCCCACCTGGTGAGCCAATCTCCAACAAGGTAACTACCACACCTGGTGAGCCAATCTCCAACAAGGTAACTACCACACCTGGTGAGCCAAGCTCCAACAAGGTAACTACCACACCTGGTGAGCCAAGCTCCAACAAGGTAACTACCACACCTGGTGAGCCAATCTCCAACAAGGTAACTACCACACCTGGTGAGCCAATCTCCAACAAGGTAACTACCACACCTGGTGAGCCAAGCTCCAACAGGGTAACTACCACACCTGGTCAGGATCCCGACACACAACGCTTGCTGCAGCCGACGCCACCCCCACGAAACACAAGTGACGGTCTTCCGTCACTCTCACCTACTGTAATTTCAACATTGTGTCGCAAGGAGTTAAGGGCTGTGTTATGATGATAGTTCTCTCTGTACATAAGTCGCTCTTACCGCCCGTTACGTAGACTGCATCAGGTGGATGATTACACTCTATGTATGTTAAGCTTAGTATGGATTGAAAGGTGCAAGGCTAGCGAGCATGTAGCTGAGAGAACGAGTGTTGTAGCGTCAAGCTTAGATATGTTCTAACGTGTAAGTAGACTTCATTGTGTGTGTGCATGTGCAATCCCAGTCGAAAGGAGGAGAGGTAAACACAAATATTGAAGCCTACGATTGCAAATTACAAAGTGCCAGGGAGAAGGCAGCCACGCTCGCCCCTTTCCTTCCTTTCCCCTTTCTGCTCCGAGCAAATTGACTTGGGAGAAGGGTGGCTGGCGACCTCACCAGTTGAACGCGAGTAATCGATCACACAGCCAGGCGAGGAGGAACCCCACGTGGCGCCCTGAAGAAAATGAGAGCATGAGCGGTCTGGTGTAAGTGCCTGGCGTCTTCAACGAGGCTCTCCTACCTTACCTTGTGGTTACCTTGCGATGATTTCGGAGGCTCAAAGTCCTACCTTGTGATGATCGCGTTGTACGTTTTGCCTACAGGGGGCATGGCTCCGGGCAGGAACACGCTGATGATTTAGCATTTTCAGTGACATCAGCATACGTTTCCCCCCCTAGTTGTAAGTATGCTTAGAAATATTTTAATGATTCTATGTGACGATTGTGCTGGGGTGTTAAGCAGCGTTTTCATATTCGTTCAAATGTGTCTTAATATATATTCAGACAATGTTTTTTTCCTTTAGCTTGAGACGTACATTACCCATTAATAACCAAATTCTTATACGCAGATAAACATTAATGACGTATGTTTAGTTTAAGTTAAAATAATTATATTTTCTTTTTATATTTTAAAATATTTTACAGGAAGCCCGTGAAATTGGTTCTGCTGCCTCTCATAGTTCAATGTTAGGTCAACGAGGTTAATATGTGACCCTTTGGCACAGAATTTGATCTACCTATTTCAATAACTGGCATGATTGACGTGGGATATGGATAATTAGTCTTGAAATACTCGCATATTGACCTCGTTTGGAAAGTAACTTCAAACTGAACACCTGTAACCACTAAGTTAACTTTTTTTACAACAGCAACGGAAGACTTTTGCCTGTGAATTGAACAAACACTTTTACCTGTGAATTGAACAACCAGTTCAACCTGTGAATTGAACAACTACTTACTACTTGACAGCCACGCCCACTGCTAAGCACCAACGCCTAGTGCTGAACAGTCACACAAACTTTTCAAAAGCCACGCCCACTGCTCATAACCCACATAAACTCTCTGTTCAGCTAAATGAACAACTCTGTTAGCTTTAGCAATATCCTCAAACCCAAAAAAAACTCATTGTATTGGAACTGTTAAGTCTTTAGGAACCACGTTTGACATCTCTCTCTCACATAAGATTTATTTAAATTATTGACAAGAATTCGCTTTCCTTAAAATATCTTAGACCAGGCAGTAATTTGCATTTGAGAAAGCTAGCGTAAATGCACGTTATCTTGCGCTGATTCAGGGGGTCAAAGTTCGTGCGGCCCGGTCTCTGACCAGGCCTCCTGGTTGGTGGTCCGGTCAACCAGACTTTTGGACGCGGCTGCTCCCAATCTGGCACAGCATCGGGCATTTATAGCAAACGTCACGTTAATAGCCCACAATTAAATGGATCATGGTGGACGGAGGGACAATACGAGCAGCCCTTGCAGCAGTCACCTCATGATCAATGTACCGAACGTAATCAACTCGCGAAGTCAGCTTTCATTTTCACCAGTGAATCGCCCTTTCTATGAGACCAAAGGGCCACCCCTTCCGACAACTATCTACCCCTTCCCCTCCCCCCCTCCATCCCCTTTTGCCTATCCTTACACTTAGCCATACCAATCCTCTATTAACCCATCCCTCCCCCCCCAAAAAAAAAAAAAAAAGTTATAAAAGGGACTGTACAAAAAAGAGGTACTCACCTTCCAAACGCTTCCGGCACAAACAAGCGATGTTTTACACACACGCACACACAGCTAAACACGCCACCCCGACCTTCCACCATCTGGGGCAACACTCAACTAACTCTTAATATTTTCCCTGTCTGTCTCTCTCTCTCTCTCTCAGACCTTATTGACAGCATCGTCCACACGTAAGCATTTCTCTCTCTCACTTTCTTTTATAGCCCTTTTTTTACAGCGTGGCTTGACTAAAGGGTCCAGCGGTGGTTGGCCAGCAATCGGTTCACCATGATAAAGGATGGACGTACTAACCTCTATCCTGGACGTAGCTGACCACCGTCCCACGAGAGAGCGGTTGTGGACGGGGAAAGGTGTGGATTGGAAGAGAGTTGGATGGGAAGAGGGGGTAGTAGAGGATTGGTAGAGTTGAGGTAGGGTGGTTAGAGGGGGAGGAAGGGGGGGGGAGGGAAATTGTTGAAGCAAGTGGTTGAGTTTAACGATGCAGGTGTATGTATGCTGCATCGTCTCATTGTTCCGCGACGCAACAGCAGCCGCGTGAGTTGGTGTGTTTGGCAGTGAGGAGGGTTGCAGTGTTGCAGTGTTGCAGCGTTGTCCTTTATATGTTTCTACTCATCCTTTCTACGGCCTCATTATTGTTTCCCCTTCAACGTTTATCGTATTCTTCACTTTACTAATTTTGTAGTTTATCATTCTTGCTGGTGATAATGATCACCTGGTTTTCTTACAACATATTCAACAACAAATTATTTTACTACTACTACCAATCAACTAAAATCATTACTATCAGAGGTTGAAATACTTTAACAGTGATGCCACCACCAGTACCCTCTACTACACCCCGAGAAACACCTTTCCCAGGGGGAAATATGGTTGATGAATTACACAGTGATTGTCATCGTTGGTTGGCTGAGGTTGACATTGTAGCATTGGTGGTCGGTGGTCGCCACGAGTCGTAAACACCCGACCACTTTCCTCTCTCACCTTAGACTCTCCTCTCCTACTCTCCTTCCCTACTTCCCCGTGACTCTCCTCTCCTATTCTCCTGTGACTCTCCTTCCTTACTTCCCCGCGACTCTCCCACTGACGACTACCTTCCTACCTGCAACTCCACCCTCGACCATTTCCTCTCGTACATTACTTATCGTGGACATTTATTTTCCTCTGATGTCGTCTCATTGTTATTCTCCTCCTAGTCTGTCCTTCAATTATGTTTTGTGTATAGAATACAGTAGTTTTATTGGTTTATTTATTTCTTTGCCGTTTTCTATGTGTGTGTATTTACCATTAATATCTGCAGAATCCAGTTATTAGCTCTTGGACCCCGCCTTTCTAACCAATGGATTTTTCCTCAATTATGTCTTCTACATATATTTCTTTCTAACACACGCACACCCCCAGGAAGCAGCCCGTAGCAGCTGTCTAACGCCTAGGTACATATTTACTGCAAGGTGAACAGGTGCACCAGGGTAAAAGAAAATCTGCCCATTTGTTTCGGCATTGGCCCGGAATCGAAGCCAGGCCCTTTGGACTACTACCCAAGAGCGTTCTCTACTGCCGCGAGGCCCACCTGTGTGTGTACTCACCTAGTTGTACTGGCGGAGGTTGATATCTTGCTCTTTGGTCCCGCTTCTCAACTGTTCAACTGTCAATCAACTGGTGTACAGATTCCTGAGCCTTCTGGGCTCTATCATATTTACATTTGAAATTGCGTATTGAGCCTCTCCCATATCACTGCCTAATTCATTCCATCTGTTAACTACTCTGACAAAGAAAAGTTCTTTCTAACGACCCTGTGGCTCATTTGGGTAATCAGTTTCCACCTGTTTCCCCTTGTTCGTGTACCACCCGTGTTAAACAGTTTATCTTTATCTACCTTGTCAATTCCTTTGAGAATTTTGTAGGTTGTAATCATGTCTCCCCGAGGTCTCCTGTTTTCCAGCGACGTGAGGTGCATTTCACACATCCTTTCCTCGTTTATTATGCCTCTTAGATCTGGGACTAGCCTAGTGGCATACCTCTAAAAAGTAGCCAATTGTTGGACCATTCATTCAGTCTGTCTAGGTTATCTTGTAGCCTCCAACTATCTTCCTCTGTCTTAATCCTCCTCATAATTTTTGCATCAGCAGACAATGTGTGTGTGTGTGTGTGTGTGTGTGTTAATGTGTGTGTGTGTTAATGTGTGTGTGTGTGTGTGTGTGTGTGTGTGTGTGTGTGTGTGTGTGTTAATGTGTGTGTGTGTGTGTGTGTGTGTGTGTGTGTGTTTACTCACCTATTTGTGCTTGCGGGGGTTGAACTCTGGCTCTTTGGTCAAAGGAACCAGTCAAAAGTGTGTGTGTGTGTGTGGAGTCCCCATCTTCTTCAGATGGGAACTCCATGATGAGGCGGCATACTCTAAGACTGGCCTTACGTAGGCAGTGTAAAGCGCCCTAAATGCCTCCTTACTTAGGTTTCTGAATGATGTTCTAACTTTTGCCAGTGTAGAGTACGCTGCTGTCGTTATCCTATTTATAGGATAACGATAATAGGATTGATGTGTGTTTGTGTGTGTTTGTGTGTGTGTGTGTGTGTGTGTGTGTGTGTGTGTGTGTGTGTGTGTGTGTGTGTTTTCAGAGGTCTAAATGCTTGTTAACGATTGCATCTAGACAAGTTATGGATCCAGAGAGGAAGAGCGATGCGCGTGCTTGGACTGGCGGATTAATAAATGTTAACTACAGGATGTTGACCAGTCGCTGATGAGCTGCGCCCGGGTGTGTGTGTGTGTCTATTTGTTCTATCCGTTAACCCCTTCAACCCTGAAGTCACTTTTGTTTTGTATTTTTTTTTTTTACTACAGACGTGGTCGTTTCTTTATACAATGATTTTCAGTATATACATTTTCGTGTGTCCTATATAGATTGGGTTAAAGAGGTCCTTCGATATATAGTGAGCTGTTAAGCATTATACCACAAAAGGTGATGGAAGGGCTTGTACAATGTTAACTAGAATGTATACATTTTCGTCTGCCCTACATAGACAG